AAAGGACAGTGGTTTGAACCCACCAGCTGCTCTGTGGGAGAAAGATGAGGCAATCTGCTTCCTTAAAGCTTTATAGCCTATTTTTATCTAATCATATGAAAGATTCATTCCAGTGGGAGTCTCTACTCATCTTGGAGTCAAAGCAATATAACCCAGCAGAGTGAAAGCAAAAGACTGACATCAGATGACCTGAGAGCTGGACTCTGTCACTTACTAACTGAATTTTTAAAAATTCAGGCTCAATTCAGTTTACTGAAAATCCACTGATAATTGGAAAACAGTCCTTCACTCTCAGTGTCCTCAGCCTCCAAAGTAGATATTATCCCCACTATATGGAGAAGGAGCTCTGGTGGTGTAGTGCCTAAGGCATTTGACTAGGAACCAGAAGGCTGGGGATTCAAACCCACCAGTCACTCTTTGAAAGGAAGATTGGGCAAACTATTTCCATAGAGATACCACCTTGGAAATGGGCAGTGAGTCTGACTTTTTGGTTTTTATACAGAGAAGGAGACGGGCTTCATGACTTTCCCCAAATCACACAGCTGGGCCTTGGCTTGGGGCTTAGGATTCTGCCCTCCTCATGGTCCGCTGGCTCAATGCTGTTCTTTCACAGCCTGACTTTGCCTTTCTAACCCCAGACAGTATGCCTTCCCAAACAAACACAAAAGTAACCAATGGGCTTTTTCATACTTTTCACCTTCTCTCCAGCCCACCCCACTCTTAGCAGACAGATACTCCCTGGCTGTGTCGGTTTCTGTGCCCCCTTTCTCAGTAGAATCCAAGAAATAGGTAAAAATGTAGCTAAAACTAGAGAAAGCAGAGAAGTTGATCTACATAATGAATAGCTAAGAGAACACAAGAACTGGAGAAAGATTGCTTGGAAACATTGATACTTGGGGAGATTCCAAGTAGCAAGAGGGAGACAGAGGAGGAGTTGAAAAGCTGGCTGTCAACTGAGAGGAGAATGTTGAGGGTCTGACATTGAGAAAAGGGATGAACATGTTTACTGTGCATTTTGAAGGAACTTCCTCCTTTGCCATGTCCTCCAACGTTTAAGCAGTTTTAATTTTTGGTTGTCAGCCTGTTTCACCAATTCAGGAATCTGACATTTCTCCAGGTTTTACAGATTGTTTGGACATTGTATAGAACACGTTCATTGCTGTCAGCATTTGCGGAGGGAGAATGGAGGAGGAATTGTCTTACCCTACCATGTGATTGCATGTAACATATAGATGCCAGACTTGTTAGTGGAGGTCGACAGTGTCAGGACTTTAATATTTGAGCGATGATAAGAAGGAAGGAGTAATTTCATGTATTTTGTACCTGTTGTGTGTTGACAAATCAAATATTTTTAGAATTTCACAACAAAAATGTCTAAATTAATCTGAAGCAGCAAAAAGGGATCAAATAAGTTTCTCTCTCCAGTTCAGCTAGATGCCACCTTCTAGGCAACTATGATACAAGTTTCCAGAGCAACAAAGGATGTTTGCCATCTTTCTGCTGTCCTTGTGGATGTGATAAATGATGAACGTTACCACCTAGATTCAAGATGAGGATTTTAAAAAATATTTGGCATCATCACAAGTCAGGTCATCAGAAAAAAAGGAGAAGAAACAGGTTTAGGTGATTCATTAGACAAATACTCTTAGATGAGGTTAATTGCAGAGACTGGCTAAAAATTTAAATGTTTATGCAAAAGTATAAGTCAACTTCACAATTCCAAATGCCATTCTAGTTCTTGGAGCAATAAGTAAAGTTCTTCCTACCTATGTTTTTTGCCTATTTTAAATATTATATGCTTCCATAATTGCCCTAGCTCTTTGAAAAGAGCCTTGGTGGTGCAGTGGTTATGCACTCAGCAGCTAACAGAAAGATCTGTGGTTCAAACCCATCAGCCATTCTGCAGGAAAAGAAGTGGTAGTCTGCTTCTGTAAAAACTGAACCCTTGGAAACTCTGGGGGGCAGCTCTGCTCTGTTCTGTGGGGTTGCTATGAGTCTGAACCCTCTCCACAGCAATGAGTTTTGTATTTTTTTTTTTTTTTAAGATCTTCGACAGTCGTGGTCATTGTCTTAAACTGTTGACAGCAACTTAACAGCAATTAAAATTTTTTTCAAGTACATACTTATAGGTTTGCATTATGCTCCTAAGCTAATTTTGCATTTAATTCAATGCACCCATAACGTTGCCCCAGCCTGCCTAGGAATGCCCTGGGAATGCAACTTCATCAACACAAGTTTTTTTTTTTTTTTTTTT